CCCCCCCCCCCCCCCCTTAAACCAAACCATTCCCCCCCCCCCCCCCGGTGCCGCCGCCGCGCTGTTTGTCCTGCAAGCAGTGCTAGCGCGTGGCCGGCTCCAGGAGATGGCCGTCCGGCTGGTGCAGGGGCGCATGTTAGACATCTTGACTAGCGTCAACGATTGCATAGACCACGTGCCGCCGGTGGGCACGGAGTACGAGTTCGAGGTGCGTGTGTCTTTGTTTGTATTTTTCTCATCCATCGTCGTCATTTTGGTTGCTCCGCCGCGGCGCGGGTAATTCGTAGGTCTCGTCCTTGTCCTGACAGCACGAAGGGAGATAGTTCTGCATCCCTTCACTCTCTCTCTCTCTCTGTCTCTGTCTCTGTCTCTGTCTCTGTCTCTCTCTGTCTCTCTCTGTCTCTCTCTCTTATGGACGAAACGGGATGTTTGTTTTGGGTAGTGGGTGCTTACCGACAGAGACGCGAAAAAAGGTCGACTCAATACCTTGGCTTATTACAAGGGCACGATGTACCCCCACTCACGGCAAATGGGTGATGCAGCATGATACAAGATCCCAAGATCTCCGCAGACCCGTATCTAGTTGTTACAGCAGTTGGATCGATCGGACTACTTGTATTTTGGAGTGCCTTGATGGTTTCAGCTTTCCGTTCCTGCGGGACCACCCCCCCCCCCCCTCCCCCCCCGTTTCCCGGAACGATCTAACTTTTAAAGGGTGTATCCCCTACAGGGGAAATCCCCTCTCTCCCACGCAAGGATTAATAAAACAGCCCCTCGATCCCACTCTTGTGTTTGATGGTTGCCATTCTTCCATTCCTTCGGGAATCCCCCCTCTCCCCCCTGTTCTACACCGGGGAAAGTGGGGGAGGTTACCGTAACAATGGAACATGGCACAGTCAAGCTCTGTACAGAAGTCGGATCGAGAAGCTCTTGGCCTGCTTGCGAAAGAAGGGATACATCCCCCTGCAGTTGGTGCAGCAGCTGGATCGATCCGACTTACTGTATTGTACGGTGGCATACTTCCATTCCTGCGGGACCCCCCCGTTCCATACTCCCGCCAGGTGAAAGACATGGCCGTTTTCTCGTTGAATGTGCACAAAAAATCAACCCTCTCTGGCGAGGACGATGCTTG